AGCTAACCCAACCCAACCCTACCTCTACAGCTCAAGCAAATACTTTTCAAAAGGTTAAAGGCGCGTTGCCAGTTTTAATTTGGACCAGAATTCAGTTCCATCTACCTTTGCACGAAAATACTGTATATAACTTAATCGACCTAATTGCAAGAGACGGGTGTCTTGGAGCCCTTGCCCTGAACTTTTATATTATAAATTAAGTTAGTACAATTAAAAAAAAAAATTAACCCTGCTTCAACTTTTAACTACAATTACAATAATAGAGATTTTAATAATGCCATAAGTCCAATATCTTTTTATAAAAATATATAAGCTATGGTATAATATTAAATTAACAAGTACATATTGAGTTATGTATAATTATTAAATAAAAAGAGTTAATTATAAAAAAATAACATTATTGGTAAAAAAAAAAATTTACTAGATCATACAAAAATTTTAAAAATATTATACATTTATCCTTTTCCCCTAAATATTAAAAAAAATGCAAGGAAACAAAAATTGCCCAAATATTTAGTTATGGCCACACAACAAAGTGTTAGGGTCATAAAAATTTTTAAATATTATCTTTTAAAATACTAATTTTGTTTAGTTTAATTGTTAAAAATAGTTAATAGTTGCACTTGGACCTTCGACTCAGTGGCGTTAGGCCACATATAAATACATTTCCCTTCCCTCAGGGCCACGGTTCAAATCCAACTCCTTACGAATTTGTTAAAAAAAAAAGAAATAGTTAATAATTGTAACTATTAATTGATAAATAAGAAAATAGTTAACATTCATTATTTAATGTATTAAAATTAGTCTATATCAATATTTTTAAATATAATAACTAATTATTTATAAGAAAAAAATTAATATTTACATGACCCTAACACTTTAATGTGTGAATATAATCACGCCTCCTATGGTGAAAAGGTGTGGTTATTGCCACACACAATCTTATTAAGGTCACACAAATTTAAGTCTTTCCTTAAACAATTAAATATAGTGTTTAGACATATCTATTTAAAAAATAATTTTAATTTATTAAATAATAAAATATCAATTATTCTATTATAATTATTTATTAATACTTATAATTATCAATTGTTGTTAATAATCAAATTAACTAAAAGTTAATATTTTAAAATTGATGTGACCAAAATATTATTGTGTCTAGAAATACTTTATTATAATATCATATTATATTATAAATTTATAATATAATTATTATTATATAATTAATTATTTTATTTAAAAATTCATTTATAATAATATATATATTTATTTAATAACATATTATATATTTATTTAATACAATTTATATTATAAATTTATAATTATATGTAATATCATATCAACACCGTTAGTGCATGGTATGCCTTGTCATAACCATTTCCATGATGAACGAATTAGCACTGAAAAACAGGGAGAGAAAACCTTAAGGGCGGTAGATGGGATGTCTTTTCAGATGTCATCAGATGACTGATCATAATCAAATACTTGAAAGGAACCAAAAAAAAAAAAAAAAAAAAAAAGAAAAAACAAAGCAACAAACAAACAATCTACATCAAAAAGGAAAAAGAAGGAATATTGATGGACAAATCTGGGCCGTTCATATACTCCATTTGGA